TATACACACACACGTATATATATACACACATGCATATGTGTGTGTATATATACATATCTATATATCTATATATCTATATATATAAGTGTTTTCTCTTCCAGGCTAGTGAAAACAATGTGGTGCATTGGCGTTTCCCTCCCCTGCCCCCCAAGAAAGTAATGACAATTGCCTCTAAATGAGTGAATTAAAAAAAAAAAGAGTCCATTTAAGCTGAATGGTGTGCCTTCCTGTGTAAGGAGCCTGGCCAGTGTTTGTTACTTTTGCTGTGGATATGTGAATTCAGAGCAGATAAGTATAAATCTTTAAACTTGGTATGTTTGTTTGAAGTGACAGGCCTGGTTGACACAGGTAATATTGTTGTCGTATATACTTAGACTGTGTAAGGCATTTGACTGGTACTGCATAATATTTTGACTGAAAACTAAAACAATACATAAAATCAACATGGCACACATTAAATGGATTAAAATGTGGCTAACTCATAGGTCTCAATTTAATTTTCAATGGTGCTTAATTGAGTGTATTTCCATCAGGATCTTCCAGCCACCAGTTCTTGGCCTTGCTTTACTTAGCCTTATTAATAGGTTGAAAAGAAATAGAATCTACTTTTAACAAAGGCAAATTATGTGAGTCAGAAGGGAGATCCAGGCTTTTGAATTATGAAAGGAACAGCTCACTGATACAGACTGATCTGGGCAGGGCAAGTAAATATTTGCATTTTAATAGAGCCAGATGTGTAGTGTAACATTACCCATCTAATAAATAACATTCAGGCCACAGGTGAAGGACTCTGTTTTGGAGGAAAAGTGCCACTGAAAGAGTATGAGGATTGTTATATGTTACTGCTTAAACACTGCTTCCTAACACGATTCTGTGTTGCTACTGCAACACTCACAGGTACAAAAAGAAATCTTTAGTAGAAATGGCAAATTTATATTCACTTTATATTTGGCATTGGTGAAACTCTTTTTTTACAGGAACACTCTGTGTGCTATGAGCAGTTAAAAAGGGATGCTAAAAAATTGGGAACAGCAACAACTGTAAAAAAAGCTGTAAGCTCCATTCAGATGAGAAACAAGGCACTTTTTCAGACTGACATGAGAGTAACAAGGGTTATGTCACTTGCTAGAAACATTGAAAGCAGTATTCCTGCTTTCCTGAAGGATGTGCTGCTGCTCAAACAGGAGCTCTCTCGGAGAATGCCTCTAGCTTCCCCTCTGTGAAAGTCATACTGTGTTTTGAATGATCTGTTCTTGTTTTAAGTAGGAGACAGTGTGGACTGATGTGTAGAGGATGGGCCAAGGAACTGTTGGAGTTCTTGGGTTCTTCTCTTAGCTCTGCCATGCAGTGTGTAGTGCCAGAAAAGTGATCTCTTGTATTTTCTTCTTACCTCATCCTGAAAATGGAAGTGAATGCATTTGTTTCTGTCTGCTTGTGGAGATCCAATCTAAGCACCTTCCAAAAACCCCACAGGCTGTTAAGGTGAAATGATTTATGAGAACCAGGAATCTCTTGAGTTCTTCTTGCAGCATCAGTAATGAGGTGGAACTATTATGCTCCAGTTTTAACAATGTCTCATTTTAAACTGGGCATTAGAGAAAGGAAGATGCAGGACTGCCTAGAATTGCTATCTAGCAGTCCTGTCCACAGACCTGTAATGCCTTTTAAGTTGCATGTTTATTGGGGCAGCAAACAGGAGCTATCATTCTTTCTGTGGGTAAAGTTACCAGTGGAATGTGGCAGGCAGGGTGACTCTTGGGTTCAGGAGGATACAAGAGATGATGGGGCAGAAGGTTATTGAAAGCTCAATAACTAAGACGGGACCAGTGCTTGGGGCTCCTGGGAAGACATCACACACACAATCATTTGAGGCAAGTGCTGCTTAGAGACCAGCCTGTTCTTAAATTCCTGTGTTGGTTCCTTGATGCCAGCCAAATACAGGTGAAATCCCTTCACTTAATCTTAACAGAAGGCCGGCAATGACATCGGAAAACCTACGTGTTCCTGAACATGCATTTTAACTGTCAGTGCTGACACTGTTGAAGAACCAAATGGCAGCACCCGGTCCTATGTGTGACAGTGCTTCTGGTGATAGACCTCAGTGCTGCTCTGAGGATTTCCAGAACAGCTATCTCATGTCTGTGCAATTTGCATATCTGTGCCAGCTTGAAGTAATTCTCCCCGTCTTCCAGTGTGATTTCTTTGCTTCTGGAATTGGTACAACACATCATTAGTACTTTCCCATGCTAATTTCGGCCAGTAGACATGAAGGTCTCTGCCCAAGTCCTAGAAAGATAAAGAAGACTTCTTTGTGTACTGCTATGGCCATGTCCATAGGGCTCCTGCATGCTCTTTTGAGGCAGTGTTCAAGTTGTCAGATTGATCATTGTATTAGGAATTTCCAGGCACGTGGTATAGGATGGATAATTTGACTTTGAATAAACGTGAGTGGTGTTGCAGATGAAGCCAAAGGGGAGAAAGAAAATGAGCCATCGCACTAGGAAAGAGGTGGTTTCTTTCATTGCCTTTGTGAGAAAGATTGTCATTTTTTTCTAGTACCCAACTACTTGCAGAGAAAATACTGCAGTGGTTGGGAGTGAGCTGGAAACAGCACAAAGCCCAGTGGCTCAGGCTTTTATTTGAGACTCTGGAGCCTACGTGGAAGCTAAAAGAAAACACAAAGGTGTGCAGTGATGCATTTTTTTTATGGTAGATACTGAAATGGTGGAGTTATCGAAGTGATAGAAGGAAAGGATATATGACTTTTACATGGAGCTTTTGTCAAACCACTGGATGAGTGTTCAAATTTTGAGTAAACAGGATAAAGCTTAGAGAAATTTAAGTAAAAGGAAAAACTGGTGACCATTGCTGTTTTGAGGTGTTGCTTTCTAAGTCGTGTTTTACGTATTTTCATTTGAAATACTTTACTAGCTGGATGAGTCTAAATAGTTTTATTTCCAAAACTAGATGAGGTACCTGCTGGTTTGTTCAGAGAGTGCACTCAGAGGTGCTTACTGAAGGGGGCATACTTTTGAGATGCATGGTTTTAAGCTCTGCCATCACCAAGCATAAATCAAGTCACAAGCTTCTCTTCAAGTTTCTCTGCTTTTTTGTTCTTATTTAATACATACATGAGCACAGGCAAACAATCTGGGAAGATTTTTTTTTTTTGGTTCCCACCTGTGTGCCTACTGGTGTGGCAAAGAACCAGAGCTGTCATGGTAGATCTGTTCACATACCTGCAGTGGAATTAAGCATGACTTGAATTCAGTGCTAAATGAGTGGATAAATCTGTGGAAGCCTGCTCTGCATGACTGACAGCATACTTGTGAGATTTGCCTTACAGAGAATCTGATGACAGGTCATGGCATTGCCTGAATGTTATTACTTCTGTGGTGGAAAGATTGCACAGCTTGTTTGATTGGTTACATCTCAGTATGAGTGGTACCCAGAAATGCAATTGATAGAAAGATGGACTGCAGCAGCTATTTTTCTAGCTCTAGTGTAAAGGACAAAGTACTTGAGAGGACTCAACTAGATATCTTATTGCTTCTCTTTTCCAGATATAAAGAAGATTTACCCTGCATTTTTGTAGGGCTTTTAATTTATTCAGCAATAGTGCTAATTTTTAGTAGCGCAACAAAAATAATCAGGAAAAAGTTTCAGGAAAAATAATCTGCCTCCCATTATCAGAAAGTTCACAAACTAAATCTGTCGAATGCATATGCCTCTTCTGTTTCTGGAGTGCCCAGGGCCAGTTAGCAGGCAGTCCAGGGAAATAACACAGTTTTGATCAGTCCTGACAGTTCCAATCTACATTTCCTTCCAAATGAACTGAAAGGAGGAGGAAAAATACTGTTTCTAGTTCAGCATGAACAGTATGCGGCTCTTTTAGAATGAATGCCAGAAATACGACTGTTGAGAGTTGCTCTTTGCAGATATTACTGGGTCTGCTGCTTGTAAAACTTGAGGCAGATGATCTTTTAAGTGGACTAGTATCATGAAAGCACAGATGATGATTTAAAGGCGGGAAAACGCAAATAAATCTAAATGATGTTTGGAAAAAAGAGCTCATCAGCAGAGAGCAGG